GAGGATGACTCGACGTCTTCGTGATGGGTGGTTGATGTGTACTTGTCTGGAGGTTTCCCAGCATCATTGGTGGGTTGGCGGTTGGTCCCACTGGTTCGACGCATTCGTGCTGCCGATTTATGAGTGGCTTTGGCTGCTGTGGCGTCTGCTGTGGCATCTGCAAGTGCGATGTCTCCCTTGGCCATGATCTTGCTCTGAGTGGTTGGGTCTCTGAGGCCAAGGACGATGCGATCTCTCATGGCTTCCTCAAGGTTGGCGAAGCCACACAAGCCACCCAGGTTCCTCAGGTCTGCCACAAAATCCCCAACGCTCTCACCTTCACGTTGGTCCCTCTGATAGAAATCATGCCTGCGAATGAGAGTTGGCATGGCTGGGGCATAATGGTTGCGCAGGATGGGAGCAAGGGTGTCCCAATCCATGGTCTTAACTTCAGCTGGCTTGGCTAAGGCTTTAGCCATCTTAAAAACGGCTGGTCCACAATGGGTTAGAAAAACGGCTCGTTTCTTGCTGGGCGTGGCATCTTTGAAGTTGTTGGACTCCAGGAACATTTGAAATCTGTCCATGTATGAGTCCCAATCTTCGCTAGCTGGATCGAATGGTGCGGGTGGTATAGCACTGCTGGCCATGTCGCCGTCGTTGCACTCTGTCAGCCACGTGCTCCTTCAGCTAGCTCATTTTAATAGCTTCTGTTGCCTCCGCATCCCATCCTCGTCGCCAGGGTTATATCTGGGAGGACGGTTCAAGAACGGAGGCAAGACTCAGACAGTAACTAAAGCTCTTTGTGACTTCAGATCTGAGCAACTAAACCCAGCCACAGCAGCCCCTTTTATAGGGCTGGCTGCAGCTAGGCAGCCAATGAAGGCGATTTGAGTTTGCCGCTTTTGGCAGGGCCAGTCACGGCAGCCCATTTACTGACCAATCGCATCAGTCTATGGCGACCAATCACGATCGGCTTTCAGCGGGCCAATCAGATTTGCAGGCTACGAGCCTGCTAGTCCAGAACACATCCCTAGTTCTATATTTTTAATTTTAATTATCTCATTATTTTATTTTTTGGTCCCTTCAAGTAATTCCAAGCAACTGTCTAGACAAGTCCCTGAAGTTTACTTGGAAAGATTTTAGACGTAGTTTGCTGTTTGCCTATATTCTAGGAATAAAAGAGACTGATTAGTCCAAGAGCACCAGGTTGGGTTCATGCCAAAGATAGAATTCGAAATCATTTATTGTTGTTAGTTGTGGAAGTTGTGTCTGACCCATTGTGAGCCCATGGACAACATTCCTCTAGGCCTTCCTGTCCTCTACCTTCATCTGGAGTCCATTTAAGCTGACACTGACTGCTTCAGTGACTCCATCCAGCCACCTCATTCTCTGTCATCCCCTTCTTCTTTTGCCCTCAATCATTCCCAGCATTAGGCTCTTCTCCAGTAAGTGTGATGACCCAGGGTGGGATACAAAGCAAACACAGTCACAGAAAACAGGTGAAGCCTCTTTTATTCCTTCACTTTGCTTCCATGTTCCAAATATCTTTGATGGAAAACAAAAAGCTCCCACACAAACAGTTACATGAAGAAGGCAAAAAAGCAACACAAACCAGGAAAGATAAGGGCCGAAGGATGTCCACAGATAACACACACTGGGAAGGACGCCAAACTCAGAGAGAAACTATACACTAGAAATATTTACACACTTTGATTCCAGCGTTCGCCAGTACGCAGGTCCATACTTTTATTCAGTTGTCACAGCTGCAGCCCGTGAAGAGGATCAAGGCCCTCTCCTCCCGAGGAGACCACATCTCTCCCTTATCCTCTCCTCCCTGTGTGCCCTAGGATGGATAGGGGATGGACCCGGGTCCTCCTCTGACTGCTCATCCAGCCTCTGCCCTTCCCCAGCTTCCTCCACAACCTCTGGAGCCACACTTCCACACTCTGTTGGCTGTTCCTCCTGTCCCTCAGAGTCAGTCTCCATCAAGGGCATGATATATTTCTTCTCATTAGGTGGCCAAACTATTTGAGTTTCATTTTCAGGATCTGGCCTTCTAAAGAGCAGTCAGGGTTGATCTCCTCTAGGACTGACCAGTTTGATCACCTTGCAGTCCAAGGGACTCACAGGAGTCTTCTCCAATTCTATAGTGTAAAAGCCTCAGTTCTTTGGCACTCAGCCTTCCTTATGGTCCAAATTTCACAGCCATACTTTGCAACTGGGAAAACCATAGCCTTGAGTATATGCATTTTGGTTGGCAGAGTGATGTTTCTGCTGTCTAGATTTGCCATAGCTTTCCTCCCCAGGAGCAAGCATTTTTTAACTTCTTGGCTGTACTCCCCATCTATGGTGATCTTGGAGCCCAGGTAAATAAAATCTGTCACTACCTCCATTTCTTCCCCATCTATTTGCCAAAAATTGAGAGGGCTGGATACTTTTTTAAATGTTGAGTTTCAAGCCAACATTTGCACTCTCCTCCTTCACTTGCATCAAGCTCTTTAATTCCTCTTCACTTTCTGCCATTAGTGGTATCATATCTGAGGTTGTTAAAATTTCTCCTGGCAATCTTAATTCCAACTTGTGATTCATCTAGCCCCGTCTTTCTTATGATGTGCTCCAGAGGTGGGATGCAAATTTTTTATCTACTGGTTTGGCTTGGTGGATGTGGCTAGGTCGTCATGTGACTGGGGGGGCTGGGGTCTTCTTTTGCCTACTGGGCCTCAGGGAAGCCTCCTGGGAGCAAAAATGGGGTGGGGGGGGTGCTGTGCCTCCTGGGCGAAGCAGTACAACATCGGGGGGTGGGGGGAATCAGCCGTGCTGCACGATTAAGGTTAGCTAGAAAGCAAGAAATCCGACTATTTTCTGCTTTCTAGCTAATCTAAATCGCACAAAAACAGCTGATCAGTGGGGGGTGGAAAGGTAATACCTTTCAACCAAACTGGGCCAAACTGAGAATCCCACCCCGATGTGCTCTGCATATAAGTTAAATAGGCAGGGTGACGGTATACAGCCTTGCTGAACTCCATTCTCACTTCTGAACCAATCAATGGTTCTGTGTCCAGTTCTCACTGTTGCTTCTTGACCCGCATATAGGTTTTTCAAGAGACAAATAAGATGGTCTGGTACTCCCATCTCTTTAAGAACTTGACACAATTTGTTGTGATCCACACAATCAAAGGCTAAGTCATTGTGAGCAAAAGTAGATGTTTTTCTGGAATTCCCTAGCTTTCTCCATGATCCAGCATACGTTGGCAATTTGATCTCTAGTTCCTCTGCCTCTTCAAAATCCTGCCTGTACTTCTGATAGTTCTCAGCCCACATACTGCTGGAGCCTAGTTTGTTGCGTTTTGAGCATAACTTTGTGAAATGAGTGCAATGGTGCAGTAGTTTGAACTTACTTTGGCATTGCCCTTCTTTGGAATTGGAACATAAACTGACCTTATCCAATCCCGTGACCACTATTGCTGGCAAATCGAGTGGAGCACTTTTACTGCATTATCTTTTAAGATTTTGAATAGCTCAGCTGGAATACTGTCACCTCCAGTAGCTTTGTTGTTGCTCAGACTTCCTAAGGCTCATTTGACTTCATATTCCAGGAAGTCTGGCTTGAGGTCAGTGACCACCTCATTGTGGTTATCAGGGATGTTAAGCTCATTCTTGTATAGTTCTTTTGCTACCTCTTCTTAATCTCTTTTGCCTCTGTTACAGTAGGTCCCTGTCATTTTGGTCCTTTATCATTTTTGCATGAAACATTTTCTTCATATCTCCAATTTTCTTGCAGAGATCTCTGGTCCTCCCAATTCTATTGTTTTCTTCTATTTCTTTGCACTGTTCATTTAAGAAGGCATTCTTATCTCTTCTAGCTATTTTCTGGAATTTTGCATTCAATTGGGTGTTTCTTTCTCTTTCTCCTTTGTTTTCCACTTCCCCTTTTTCCTGAGCTATTTGAAAGCTTCGTCAGTCAGTCATTTTGCTTTCTTCTATTTCTTTTTCTTTGGTATGGTTTTAGTTGCTACCTCTTGTACAATGTTGTGAACCTCCGTCCATAGTTCTTCAGACACTCTATCAGATCTAATTCCTTAAATGTCACCTCTACTGTATATTCATTAGGGATTTAATTTAGTTCATACCTTAGTGGCCTAGTGCTTTTCCCTACTTTCTTCAATTTAAGCCTAAATTTTGCAAATTTTGCAGCTCAGGATCTGAGCCACGCTCAGATCCTGGTCTTGTTTTACTGACTGTATAGAGCTTCTCTATCTTTGGCTGCAGAGCACATAGTCAATCTGATTTCTGTGTTGACTGCCTGGTGATGTCCATGTGCAGAGTCGTCTCTTGGGTTGTTGGAAAAGAATGTTTGCTATGACCATCATATTCTCTTGACAAAATTTTACCAGCCTGGGCCCTGCTTCATTTTGTGCTCCAAGGCCAAACTTGCCCGTTATTCTGGTTATCTTTGGGCTTCCCACTTTAGCATTCGAATCCCCCATGATGATAAGGACATCATTTTTTGGTGTTAATTCTAGAAGGTGTTGTAGGGCTTCATAGTACTGGTCAACTTCATCCTCTTCAGCACCAGTGGTTAGTGGTTGGACAACTCTGATGTTGAATGGTTTGCTTTGGATTCAAACTGAGATCATTCCGTCATTTTGGGGATTGTATCCCAGTAGTACTTTTCCTACTCTTTTATTGACTATGAGGGCTACTCCATTTCTTCTGAGATATTCTTGCCTGCAGTAGTATACCTGATGGTCATCTGGATTAAATTTACCCATTCCTGTCCATTTTAGTTCTCTGATCCCTAAGATGTTGATGTTCAGTCTCATCACCTCTTGTTTGGCCACATCCAACTTGCCTTGATTCATGGATCTTACATTCCAGGTTCCTATGGAGTATAGATTTTTACAGCATCGGACTTTCCTTTCACCATCAGGTATGCCTTGACCACTAGAACAAACTATCCCCTGCTTCTATCTTTTTAAGATAATAATTAATTATCTGCTATCCCTTTTAAATATTCTTACCTAAAGCTCCAGAATTCCTTCTGCCACGGCTTCAGTGTCTTATGATTTGAAGACCAGATGTTTCCTCTGCTGTTTCCAAGCCAAACATCATAACCATTATCTGCTAATATGAAACCAAAACTGTTGTGGGGCTGGTTAGAAATCCAGTGGGAACCATCTCCAAGGACACTATGTAGCAAAAACACAACCGGCCGTGCAGCTGTAAAATAAAAAGAGATGCTTTTTTAAATGAGCCAGATCATTGAAGATTGCAAAAAAATATATATGTATTGGTTTCAAATAAAACTTCCAAAGAATCACCATTTCTGGTGCATTGTCATAGTCTATTATTAGAAATAGTGTATGTTACACTGGCTGGAATGAAAGCATGATCATTATGTGGCTAAAGCTATAGAGTTTAGGAACTGAGTGTTATGGATCAAGAAATGAGAGGCTAGACCAGAGCATTACCAAGGAATGGCTTTATTCAACGGAATAAAGGGCTGTCGCGTCTGCAGGCTAACAAGCAGACATGCTCAGCAAACAGCGGCTGGCTCAACCTTGCAGCCGGCTTTTATAACCGGCTGTCGAAGGGAGCCAGCCAATGGGAGCTGCAAACGCCCCCGCAATAGGAACGGACCTGGTTGGGAACTTCGGTCAGTCTTAAGGACATAACACCCCTTCCCCCCAGATGTGAACATGTATAGTCTTTTAGGTATGCTGGTGGTCTGTGCTGGCGCCCAGAGCGCCGTGGCCCCGGTGAGTCACTGTGTGGCACAGAGTTCGGGGAACCTGGACTGGCGGGAGTTGTAGTGCAGTCAGGATCTGGAAACCGGACGGGTTCCAGCGCAAGGTCGCTGCCACCGGGTTGGGTTGCCTCAAAGTCTCTGTCCCCCAAACCTGAGGCCTCGGTGGTCAGCAATGAAGGAAAGTCAGGTGTGCCGACTTGGCCTGTTGCTCGCTCCCTCAGTTCGGGTGGTGGTGACAGGTTTCTCTGATGATCGCCGATTGGACTCTGGAGAGGTGACTGGAGATTCACCGGAGTCCTTGAATCTGCGTTGGTGTGGACGCTCCATCGCCGCCTTATCTGGTCCAGGTGTCTGCGCCAAACGCGTCCGTCTTCCAATTGGACCCGATAAGATCTCGGACCTGTGACGGCGATGATCTTCCCTGGAACCCACAATGGATCACCGGCGTAGTTCCTGTTAGTGTTTGGGGACAAACCCCCAAACAGAATGTGCAGCAGCAGTCAAGCCAGGCAGCCAAATGAGAGAGGAAGGGCCCTAGAGTTTACACACACTGATGACAAACACTGTTTGTAGTTTAAATAGTTGTTTAATCCAATTAGAGTTTAAACATTGTCAATCAATCCATATGTCATTCACAAATATATCCATTCAGTAACTTAGTCCATTTACTAGTCAGTTCTATATCCTTATCTGCTTGTAAAGATATCTTCTCCTCTGATACCTTTCCTTTTGAAGACAACGCTGAGTATTCACAGGATATCAGCGCATCAATGAAATAGCCCTTTCGTTCAGGTATTCAAACAGTTGTAGCAAACAGTAGCAAACAAAACAGTAGCAAGCAGATAACAAGCAGAGCAGAGCAGAGAGTTACGTTTCTCTTACTGCCTTTTAATGCCGTTTGTAACCGCACCCTTAATTAGTTACTTACAAGCAGTTTTGTGCTTAAAGCTACAGGTTACAAACACCCAAACCTTGGTTTATATATTTATTCACCCAAACTTAGTTGGTGTATCAATGTTATACCCAACATTCTCCCCTTTTGGGTGATATAAATATATAATACCCTTACAATCTAAAACCATACTTTACACAACTCTCTTGGTGCTTTATGACACCTTGGGCTTTAGTAAAGTTATCAGCTATATTGTCCTCCGACATGCAGTACTCCAGCTGTATCATTTTACTCTTTACAGATTGTCTAACGTTTAAGTATCTTAAATCTGTATGCTTGCTCCTAGTTTTTACTGCAATATTTGTGGCCATTTGAATTGCTGCCTGATTATCTTCATGTACAATTATAGGATAATTTACAGTTAATCCCATGTCATTCATCATCTGCTTATACATGATTAATTCAGTACATAATAACGACAAACAGGAGAATTCTGCTTCCATAGTAGACAAACTTATATGCTGTTGTCTTATTGACTTCCAACCTATTAATGTCTTACCCAGCATTATGGCTGTTCCCGAAGTCGACTTTCTTGTGTCTCTTTCTGATGCAAAACTAGCATCTGCATAAGCACTCAGTATTAGATCACCTTTTGGTTCTAGATACAGTGCATGGTGTAATGTTCCTTTAAGATATCTTAAAATTCTCTTTAATGCTTTCCAACGACATTGAAGTGGATCATTATTATGTCGTGCCAGTTGATTAACACTATAAGCTATATCTGGCCTTGACCAATTGCTAATGTATGATAAGCTACCAATCAAAGATTGATATATTACCTTATCAAATTTGGGACTTTGAGCATCCATTTTGCAAATATCCTGACTCATTGGAGTCTTTGCAGTCTTACAAAGTTCCATCTTATAATCTATTAGCAATTTAGATATCTTATCCTCCTGAGATATCTTAAAACCTTTCTGTGTTTTTAGTATATTCAAACCTAGATATTTCTTTATCTCCCCTAATTGCTTGATTTTTATTTTCTTAGCTAATGATGCTATTATTTTATTGGCTTCATCATTAGTTTCTGTAATCAAAGCAATATCATCTGTGAATAATAGTAATAATGATATTTTCCCATTTGTCTCCCTTTTAAATAGACATGGATCGGCTAAACCAGCTTTAAACCCTATATTGTTTAGTTCCTTTACAATATACTGGTTCCATTCATAGCCTGATTGTTTAAGACCATAGAGGCTCTTTTTTAACAACCAATAATCATTATTATTTTCACCTTTAAATCCAATAGGTTTTTTCATGTATACAGTATGTCTTAGTGGAGCGTGCAAGTAAGCAGTTTCTACATCTAGATGGTTGACTATATATTTCTTGCTTGCTGCCCACACTAAAGCTGCCCTTAATGTTGCTGCTTTAAGGCTAGGTGCAAATACCTCATCATAGTCATTGGCATTTTGTCTAAAACCTTGAGCTACTAATCGTGCCTTATGGATTATATTACCATCTTTTTCAGTTTTTATCTTAAAAATCCATTTGCAGCCAATGGGTTTTATATCAACAGGTAATCTCGCATTTTCATATACTTTCATATCCTTTAAGGATTTCAATTCCTTATTCATTGCTGCATACCAACTTTCCTTATCTTTAGTAGGATACATTTTTATTTCATCTACAGTATATGGAACTTTATTAATCTGGCACACTGTGTTAGCCTGGTATCTATCAGGCGGTCTAGATATTCGTGTAGTTCTTCTGGGAATTACAGGGCTTGTATGAGGACTTTTTTGAATTACTACCTGTTCCTGTTCCTCAGCTTGCTCAGCTATTGGTACTATTTCTTCCTTTATGGGCTCTATCTCTGCCTGTATTTCTCTCTTTACTTTATTCTTAAAGTTACAGGGATAATTAATGAGATTTCTATAGGATTCAATAATTACTTCTTTATTGTTATCCTGTTCTAACTTATCCCATCCTACGTGCTCTAGAAATTGGGCATTGGCACTACATAACACCTTAGATGTGCCTTTTTCCCAAAATCTATATGCCCTATGGTTTGCTTGGTAACCAACGAAGAATAATTGTTTAGCTCTGTGTTGCCCTTTACGCCTGAGTTGTGTAGGGATATGCACCCATGCTGGTGCACCAAATGTGTGCAGGTAACTCAGATCAGGCTTCCTGCCATGCCACATGGTGAATGGTATTTCACCAGTAGTTGTGTTAACAACGTTGTTCAATATGTTATTAGCACACATTGTGGCCTCCCCCCACAAAGAATCAGGTAATCCAGAATCAGTTAACATTGATCTAACCATTGCCTGTAGTGTTTGGCCTCTTCTCTCAATAAATGCGTTGTGTTGTGGTCTCTATGGTGCAGATTTCTTGTGCTCTATTCCAGCTACCTTTAATCTATTCTGGAATTTGCTGTTAACAAATTCCGTACCATTATCTGTCACCAGGGTTATCAGTTGCCGTTTAGTTTTTCTTTCTGCAAATTTTAACCAGTTGAAGAAATGTTGATATGTTTCAGTTTTGCTTTTCATTAGGTAGCAAAACCCATATCTAGAATAATGGTCCATAATGCTCAGTATATATCGAGCACCCCCCATACTGGGTTTCTTTGGACCTATAATGTCTGCAAATACTACTTCTAAAGGTTCTTTAGTTTTGAAACCATTTAGCCTATTTGCAGGCAATATTTTACTCTTATCTTCACAGCAGACATTACAACGCAAATATTTATCACAAGGTTTTAACCTTATTCCATCAGATAACTCTACTGTACGTTTTAGCATTTTAAAATTTACATGCCCCAAACGCCTATGCAATAAATGGATACATTCATTATGAGGCTTTATATTGTTAAATACAGTCTGTGCCTCCCCTTTCTTACTATCATGTAATACATACAATGTTCCATTTAAAGCTGCAGTTACCCTTTTGTTATCTTTTTCAATTATGCAATTATTATCCTTAAATGTAATTACATAACCTAGTTTGTCTAATACCCTTACAGAAAGCAAGTTCACCTTTAACTGTGGTACATACAACATTTTTATATCCTGGTTTAAGCATGGACACTATGCAATATCTTCTCCCTTGGCCTTGAGGTTCCAGCCATTAGCAAGTGATATATGTTGAGAGCTTGTAGACATTTTTATAAATTTTGTCTTATCTCTCGTGATGCAGTGGGATGCACCACTGTCCACCACCCATAAATCATTCTTCACATCACAGTTGCTAAACGTGGCTAGTTCAAAGGATTTCTTTGGCTTTTTTACATTCTGGCTTTTTTCTTTTCTGCAGAATCTTGCCAAATGTCCTCTGCCTCCACAATTAAAACACTTTTTAATTGTGTATGCCGTCGAAGATAAATTCTCTTCTTCCGGGTGCTTTAATTTACTTAGTTGGTTTCTTTCAAGCTTTGAAGATAATTTCTCTTTTTTATTAGGTTTATCTTCTCTCAGCTGGTCACGTTCAAACCTTCTTCTGGCTTCTTCTAATAGCCTGCCGGTAATCTCGGTTAATGATAAACTATCTTTTGGCAATACTTCTAAAGTAGTC